GTGAATTAAAATAGAACTATACTACCTGATTACATCAACTCAGATAGCTTATGCTGGCTTGAGTTTCAGCTGAGCCACGTTAGTTTATAATTAACATTTTTCTAAAGATTTAGTTGCATTTTACTTTAAATTTAGGATAGGCGCTCCTTTGCTCAAACCAAAGTGGTCTGGTTTACTAGTGAAACAGCTACAACTCCATTGACTCTATTCCATCTGTCAGATGCTAACTGACAATACTCCTGAATCACATATATTGAGAAAGGCACAACTTACCTGTGCAGAATGCTTACCACCACTTACTGATCTCATTTTTGCTAATCCAGGGACTGCTGATTGCTATAGTCCATAAAATCAGTTGTGGACACAGCTGAGCTTGAAGCCTTTCTGAAACTAAAACAGGGTATACTTCCTCCCGGCCTGCTCCCTGGAAGTAGGTTTATTGTTTTATCTGAGTATGAAAGCAAGATAATAAAAGGGTAGAGACAATGTCATGCATTATGTATTTAAGCAAGTATAAATTTAAGCAATTCAGAGAAGTTGAAAAAATTTTAAACTAAAAATCATCTATAATCTTACAACTTACAGATTGTCATTATTATTAACATTATGTTGTTTCTTAGACTTTTTTCATGGCATTTAGAAACACATAAATTGACCTCATTTTTGTTTTAAAAATACCTATCATGTTATTCTGTTTTGTAATCAGTTTTTGTTTCTCGTTTCCTTAAGAATGTGTTACAGATATCTTTGTATAGCAGGGTAAGTGAGGATGTTTTTGAGTCACTGTTCTTGTACTGCCTCCTACTTCTCTCAATTTACAATTTTTAAGATGAGATTTTTATTATAGCTCAGGACATAATAATTACAATACCTTTTGTGAGGGTTTGCATCATTTTACTTTTTCAGCTTAAAAAAAAATCATTGAATTGTAGCTAACCTTGCCAAAAGATAAAAAATTAAGCAATTACATATTCCCCCAAGATTGGTAAAATTTGTCCTATAAGTTAACTATTTAAGAAATTCATTCCAAATGTCAAATATATCAGAACTGTAATTGTGCTAAGGTTTAGATGCATCTGAATAGTACCTGCTCCTTATTCAATTAGAGTGTGGTGATTTAAATGGGAGAGATCAACAGTTTGCTTGAGAACATCGATTTAATGTGCACTATTTACTTCCTTTCCTCTGCCACCTTCTCCCTGGTAACTAAAACAAGGTGGCAGGAGAAGCCAGCTCATAAAACTGACATTGTGAATAGTTAATCACTTCTGGCTCACTGAAATCTCAGGTGTTACTCAGAAGACTGGGAGATAGTGTATGGAATGGCTGTAGAGTCTAGATTTAAACACATGACACAAATCAAAGAGAAAGCATTTTTGCATTTGCATGTACAAATAGGCAATTCTACTATTCTCACAACCTCCAGAAATGAAGAAGTATCTCTCCCCTTGATTACCCTCTAGGCAGTAAGGTAAACTTTATAACATTGATGGTGACAGCCATATAGTCTGAAATAATGTTTCAGGATGCAACAAGTCAATGTTACAGAGATCTCTGATTTTGGTTAAAATAGTCTTTTCATTTGTTCTGTTGTTGAATTAAAATCCATTTTCTTCCAGAGTATTTGGACACACTTTACTCTTGGTTTCCATACTACTCCCTTCATCTATCCAACCCTTGTATCAAATATAGAGTAGTAATATAGAAGTATAGAAGAATAATAAGTTACCATTCACTGAGACTTACTACGTTCCAGAGTCTCTTCTAAGTTCTCTACATATTTACTCATTAGAGAATGAAGGAAGTGATATGGTCAGCTGGTGCCATTATTGTTTGATGCAACTTTGTACTTAGACCTGATGTCATTCTGAATTCATTATGTATGAATTATTCCCAAGCATTAGAGCCCTTCAAGACCCAGAACCCAGCAGTGTGACCTTTAATTGACTAGGCCTTCTTTGCCAGCTAGTGGGATGGGCTACCAGTCATTATGGTTTAAAAAATGGAAAAGGCTTAAAATGGCTTTAAATGGCTTAAAAAATGAAAATGGTTTCATTATGATTCCAGATATCAGAACCAAAGGGGATTAGATACAAAAAAGTTTTACAAAGAAAATAATCAGTGAAGTTTAGATAGAGAGAAAGGCCCATGTGAAAAGAACAGATAAAAATAATAGCATGAGCAAAGATGCTTCATCAAAGTTTACCAAAAAAGAATTTTTCAAATTTACATGCCTACTTTTAAATACTAGGATTTGCATTTCTAAAAAGCTCAGAGTCTTAGAACTGGAAGAGACCCCAAGGAATTATGTTTTACAACTTCCCTCATTTCTTTTTGAGGAAAACCAAAGATGAGAGAAAGTAATTGATTTGCCCCAAACCTCACAATGCAATTGGTAATAGGCCTTGAGGCAGAATCTAAATCCTGTCCCTCCCACTGCTCTGCTCTGTTTCATCACAACCTGCTAATCTGTTGGGTTTCCGAGGGCTGCTGACATGGAGGCTCTTTCAACCTATCTTTTTTCTGGGCTTGGAACAGAAGTCCTTGAATCTTTCTCATGGTTGTTCCTGCCTGGAGCACCAGGAAGTCTGCGGTAAGGACTCTTAGTCTCAGGTGGTCTGGCAGTTAGGCTCTAGAGTCTCCTGGCTGCCATTATCCTTGCTACCATTTTGGGTTGCTTGAACAAATCATTCCTGAGGTGGGGAAATCCCATTAAACAAGTGCTTTCTTATATTTAAGTACAGTAGATATCTAAACAGGTGAATGCCTTTGGTAGTAAGCCATGTAATGAAAAAAAAAAAGATAAGATCGTTAAATGGTCTTGTTAACATACATGTGGCTGGTAGCCCTATGGTCTTCCTAGAATATTTGTGATTTTACAGGAGGATAATACTTAAACACATCCCTTTTTGGTATAATTTTTAAAGTAAATATTTCAGGCAATGGAAAGACATTTGTGTGTGTGCTGGGTAAGTCACTTTTGCCTGGGACATATTCAACTCCCCTAGGCTATCCTGCTTTTCATACTCTATTATTACCTCTCTGGACTTGTTAACCCAAGAAGTCCAAAGCTTTTTCCTTGATGGTTGTTGTTGGTAATAAAGGTGTATTCTGCTCAAGCAAGGATGGCCGTTTAGAAGTACAGGTCATTTATAAATTAGAAATGATCTACTTCTGTTTGCTAATTGCATTAAGAGAAAAAGAGAGAATAAAATGTTTTCATTGCTTCTTTCTGGTCTGCAATTTCAGGGAAGTTAAGAAACACTCTTGTTATCCAAAACCAGATCCATTGTTAAAAGTTCATGCCATCATTTTAACATTTAGTGTCAGAGTTTCTCTTTATAAATCCCTCTTCACTTTACCAGTGCTGTTCTGAGACCTCGAACTGTTTCAAAACCATAACATTTCTTAGTGACTGATTGATCTGTATTATGTGTCCAGCCATCAGAGGAACCTTGGGATGTTGCTTGTGTAAACTGTAATCCAATCTGATGCTGTGCGTTTAGTTACAGTCTTTCATAGACCTATTGGTGATACTCGATCCTTCTGGATTTGGGAATAGAGCTTATCTGATACCTTCAGGGGGGAAAAAAATCCATTCATTTTTCTCTCTTCCCCACTTAAATAACTCAACACATCTGGTAACACTGTAGGATCATTGTCCTTGCAGTTCCTCTGCATCTCATATTGCTACAATATTTCTTAAGTATTCGGTTACCTAAAGGGCAGTGAGATTAAAAAAAAAAAAAGACTTTGTATAAGTCTTACAGATTAACCCATCTGCAGAGCTAGAAAAAAATTTTGCCTTTAATCAGCAAAATTTCCATATCAACAGCCTTGTGTGTGTTATGCAGTATGAATGTAAGTAAATATAAATTTGGAGATAAATGCCCATGTGTTAAAATTTTGAAGCAAGTCTTTTTACAAATTAATGTAATTTGCCTCTAAGAAAATGTTTATTGAATACAAGATACCTGAAATTGAAGTATCTTGTTGTTTGGATCTGTATCCTTTGGCTTAATAATGTCTTCAGTTACAAGAATGATAAAAGCTGAAACAAGATCCTTTAATTCAATCAGAACTGAGCTAAATTTTAGGAAGCAAAGAGTGGGAATCTGATACAGGACTGCATAATATAGGAAGCTAAATATACAAGATATTGAGACTTTGTAAGAAGCAGATAGGGTTGCCTTGAGGAATTCTTGTTTGAAATGGCTGCATTGAACATTAGTAAAATACCACTATTTTATACTCTTGAATTAAGATGGTTTATGCAAACAACTCTAAATTGTACAGTAGTTCCAAAGAGACCATTTACTGTTTCTGCTTGTTTTACATTCTGGAACAAGTTCAAAGCTTTTGATTTTGTTTGATTTTTTTTAATAGCCTGAGCTTTGAAAATAATACAGGTTTGATGAATACAATTTTAATATTGCAGTTCTCTAAAAAATTTTCAGTGTTTATGGTATATTTGACCCAAGGGCCCTGCACCAGATATATCCACAGTGCATTTTTAGTACAACAGAATGAACACATTAAGAAAGTTAACCATTTTTTTGCTTTTGCTTTTCTTTCTATATTAAGTATGAAAATTAGTACTGTGATGACTCCCAAAATGGGGATATTGAAAAAGTATCCACCTGACAGAAATAAGCATACAGAAAATAGAGTTAAGATTTCATTAGTTATCTGAAATTTAAGTTTATGTTCAATATGGCTAGTACTGGATTTTCATATATATTAGTTAAGTGCTATGCTTGTAAGTTTTTTTTTTTTTTTGCTTGAATTATGACTGGAAAAAAATTGGATCACAGCACTAATATCTAGGTGGGCAATGCCATTTGCCAGGATTTTTGCATATAACCTGCCCCCCCACTGCCCGCCCTCGCTTTTTTTTTCTATCAAGTGCAATACTGCCTTGCTACTAAGCCTTCTTGGATAAAAATGAGGATACATTTTTTAAATTGTTTGTTTTCTTTTTTTTGTTGTTGTTTTCTTAGGTTGTGGAACTTTTAGCAAGTGCTCTTATGGACTTGGTACAAGGAGTATACCATGAAAATTCTACTTCAGCAAAGGTAAGGATTTGGTAATCATTATAAAATGTTAGGTTAAAAACCCTCATGGCAAAACTAGATTGATGAGCAAAAATGTCATTTTTGTTTTGTGTTTAAATTGCACATGACACTTTTTTAGATTAGTGTTTTGGCTACAAATTCGTGGCCATACGCTTAGTACATAGCAGATTTAGCCAATTAAAACAACCTCTTATCCTCTGGCTGGATTCACAGTCTGTTCAATCTGCAGCAGCCCAGAAGACCAGGATGCTTCTGGCTGGCAGGTAGCACTGTCACAAGGCAGGCAGGCTGGAGAAGCAGCTCATGCTGAAGAAGCTGAACCCAGCCTTTCCCCAGAGGAAGGAGCTTTCCATGTCCCAGAAGAGTGGACATGATCCCAAAGTGGTGACTGTTGGAGGCATGTGGGAAGGATGTCTTTTATATCTAAGATCCAGAATTTACTGCGTTATTAAATTCTCTGCGATAAGAAGTAGGATGGTTGCACAGTTGGATTATTTTGATTAATTTTATAGATCTAGAATTAAGGTTTTTTGACTCATTTAGCAGGACATCTCAAAAAGGATTAGGTTTTATTTCTTTGAAATGCAGTTATTTCATTTCAGCAGGTTATTGAATGTGAAGCAATTGCTTCATTGACCACCGCCATCATTTAACATGTTATATACCATTATAAGGGACTCCTATCTTAGTGTTTCATTATTCTAACTTCTTTAGCTTCTGCATTAGCAAGATTTCACTCACTGCAAATTAGAAAAATATGCATGTATGCACATCTTGAGCTTTTTGACGATGTTTCCATTTGAAGAAAGAAAAATTTTACTGAAAGTGAAACACAGGGCATGAGCAACTTGGATATGAAATTTAAAATTTTAAAGTATAACCCAGGGATTCTGGATGGTTCAGAGAGTGGTGAGTGAAATATGAAGAACCGTACCTTGGACATCTGCTAACATTTGGTTCAGGGAACCACAGTTCCTGGCAGACATATCTAACTTCACCTAAGCAGCATAGTGGTGTGTAGGGGCCTGGCAAGATATATGCACAGTAGACCCCCTTTGCTACATTTTTCAAAAGCATACCATAGTTCACTACCATGGCTGAGGGTTAATAGCACATTGTGAAATGGAGGATTCGTGGTCTAGTTGCACTCATAGGAAGACCTTTCCTCGTATGTAGTATGATGAAGATGATGATAGCTAAGCAAGTAACACTGTAGTAATTCACCTATTCATTAAATTTTTCACAATCATCCTGCCAGCAGATAATACTACTCTCCCCATTTTATAATATAAAAACTGAGACTCAGAAAAGATTAAGTAATTTGTCCACAGTCATACAAGTTGTTAGTTGAGATTTGAACTTCAGAGCTCAGGCTCTTAACCTCTCACTCACTGCCTTTGTACCTTTATGAAACCTGATTTGCTAGCAAGCCTCTACCATACCTGAGATCTGACCATATATGATGATTACAGTGACCTCTTCTGGCAGTTGAAGCCTTGTTTCCCCCTCCCGGGATATTTCCAAGGTACTCAGCTTAGTTTCATATAAGATATTAATGTTTTATAGTTAAATATCTGTTAATTGTTAAGTGGAAGTGTTATTGTTGATTTTAAGGTTCTTGACTTACTCATTCTTACCATTTGTCCACTATAATTAGTCCAGTTTATTAATAATTTTGCAAACATTTGTTAAGTACTTTCCATATGTTAGGCAGACCTCATAGCAACAACAATAATAAATGCGTGGATAGCATGTCACAGTTTGCCGATTCTTTCTTTCTACCCAATCACGTATGAAAAGGGTGACGTGTTGGCATACCCATTTTACAGAGGAAAAGCCTAGAGTTCAGAGATGACAAATGGCAGGAAAGCGTAGTGTCTGGAAGTTCTTAATGCATGTTTGACAGTGACATGATCTGAACAGTTTTTTTGATGTCCAAATCCTATATAATCTATCTCTTCCTGGGAAAAAGAAAAGAGGCAGCAACGAAGTCTGAAGAACTGTTGATCACACACGAACCACCACTTATCAAGTACCAACTGCTGACTTTCATAAGCTAATAAGTTTTACTCAAAAGAATCTGTAGCAATGCTTTGTCATCTGCCCTCTCTCCCCACCACCTCCCAAATACAGTCCTTTAAAACATTTGAGACCTTTTAAAGCAGTTACATTTCTGAATATAGCCAAACTATTTAAAGAGCTGTTCTTTTTTTACAACAAACAAAAATGCATAGTCGAACTGAAGCAGTGGGAGTGCTTTTTGATGCCTCCATTTGCTCTCTAGGTCCAATTTAGGTTAACCGCATTTCCCTTCCTAACCAGAAATTCTGGGGTTTTTTTGGTTTTTTTTTCCCTCCCTTCTAAGTGTGCTTGCCATCCCAATGGCTGTTCAGAATTTGGTTTTTCTAACTTGGCCCAGGAATCACTTCAGAGGCAGAGGGAGCACTGCCCCACATGGAGTGCCTTCAAGGTTTTCATGTTCTGACACGTTTGGGAAGCAGCCACAAGTGGAGGTCATGTGGAAAGTGAGTTGCACAACCTCGGTAGCCTGGGGCCAATTCGGTACACAAAAGAATTGCTTTGTGATTGAAAATAAGCTGCAAACCATTTCATCTCTCCAGGGATAAGAGGATACAATAGTGGTCTGTTTCCTATATGGCTACTTAATGTGGTGATGGAGAAGCTGGGTAGTATAAAAATAGCTTTCTGTGGAGTATTATCTATGTGACTAGAGTAGATGCATTAAAGCAAATGGAGGGGAATTGTAATTGAATATGTTAGAAATCACCTTCTCCAGAAGTTTGTAGGGTAATTACCCAATCCTCCTTAAAATTTGAAAATTTATGTGATTTCTGTTAGTAATACCTAACAGATTGTACATAAATTGGGATCATGTAAACATTCAGTGTTATTTAGGAAATTCATCCTTTGTTCTATCCATTGAAAAGTAACATTTTTATTTTTACATTTACTAGTTTGTGAACCATTTCTTCCTTATAATAAAAATTAGTCATTGTGCTTTCTGTAGTGTTCATAATATCTCCCCTCCCTTTGCCTGTTTTTCTTTTGTTGTTAGCTAATTGAAGAAAGAAACATGTTAAATAGAAAATTGCATTTTAAATGGTCGTTTGCAATCCTGAGCTCTTTAGTCAAGCTCTGCCTTATACATTGTATTCATATAACTCACTGTGCATACTAAAAATATTTCATAAAATATTTCATATTTTAGCTAAACTAGCTTTGAAGGCACAGACCATTATATCTAAAATCTTTTTAACACAATTCTTATATTATTATATCTTGTTTTTTAATTAGAAAAGTAAATACAAGTTTATTAAATAAAAATTGAAAGAAAGCACAGAAAAAGTTTACAAGGAAAATAAAAATTACTTTATATAAACCATCCCTCAGAAATTAATCATGATTACATTTTGATGTATTTTCTTCTAAATTTCATTCTCTATTTCTCCCATTTTTGACTTATTATTGTATATATAATTCTTTGTCTTAATTTACTCCCCAGGATAGTCATTTTTGTTATTAAAAATCTTCAAAAATATAATTTTAATGACTAATATTTCTTCATCCTACTATGCCATAATTTACTAAGCCATTCCACAGTTTTTGGACACTTATGTTGTTTATTTTTTTTTTACTTAATTTAAACAGTATTGTGATGAACATTTTAGTGTACATAACTTTGCTCTACTTCATACTATTTGCTTAAAAAAACTCTAAAAGTGAGATTCTGCAATAAAAAAGTAAGAATATTTTCAATATATCCCAGAAAAAGAGATTACTATCCTTAGAAAAGCCTGCTTAGAGCGTTGGCCCTTGACTAGTGTCTGGGAACTTGGAACCATTCTTTAACTGATAAGACCAGATCACTGTGCCTAAACTGTTTCTGCAAACAATGTAGTTTATACTGATCACCTGCTTTCCTTCTGGGAGTCTAGAATTTTGGTACGTACTAGGCAGAGTATGCCTACATCACCAACCCCAACAAAAACCCTGAGCGCTGTCTCCAGTGAGTTTCCCTGCTAGACAATATTTCACATATGTTTTCATACGCATTAGTTCTTGGAGGAGTTAATCACTTTCTGTGAGACTCCACTGGTAGAAGAACTCAGGGAGGCTTACACCTGGTTTCCTCCAGACTTCATTTCATGCACCTTTTTCCTTAGCCGGTTTTACTTTGTATCTTTTGCTGTAATAAACCATACCTGTAAGTTCAAGTATATGCTGAGTCCTGTGTGTCCTTCTAACAAATCGTCAAAACCTGGGGTGATCTTGGGGACCCCAACACACTCTTTTTCTGATTTTTTTATTGTTTATTTCCCACCCACCTTAAGAATCTAATCAAGGTCCTTTGAAAGGGATATGTCTTCAACTCATGTTGGTGTTGAGATGAGGAACAGCACACTTCTTGGTTCTGCTGATGTTAGCCTGGTCCCAGTCTCAGGAAAGTGAGAGGGTTTTAAGGAGGATCCAGTTCTCCTGGAAAAGAACTGCTTTTAACAGAGTCACAGTAATTATAAAGATCTACTCTAGTTTTTTCTAAACACATTGCATTTTCAGTAGGTTATTCTCTTATGAGGAATATCATTGCTTCTGTGGGGTAAGATAACTTCCGTCCACTTTTTTGTTTTGTCTTTATGCTTATCCTTTTTTTTTCTCTATTGGCTTTCATGCAGCTTTCAAGTAAAACATAAAGATAAAATAATTCAATCCACTAGGAAGTTGTGGATTATCTATCTGAAAAGCCCTACACCACCATGTAAAATATAACAAAAAGATGAGCAAGAAGAGTTTTTCCCATTGAGAAAAGTAACAGGGAGAAATGTGAACAAAAATTACATCTGGTTGGGAAAATTAGAAAAAATATTAAAGAGAATGTGATATTTGAGACAGACATTTAAGGATAGGAAGGCTCTCTACTGATGGCATCCTTGAGGAGAAGGATGGCATTCTGAGCAGAGGAAACAGCATGTTCAGAAGTA